TACGACTCATCCATACACACAGCGGAGGACGGATGGTCATCATCGTCTGATGATGGCGGAAGCAGGCGACGGAGGAAGAAGATCCAGGTCAAGATCAAGTCCAAGCAGCTGCTGTTTGCAGAGCCCGAGTCCACTCCGCCGGTGGTCAAGCTGGCGGCGCCTCCGCCCACGGCTGGCCTGCCGACCACGGCGAGGGCTTCGAGGGCGAGGGCGGCACGAAGGCAGCGGGTTCGCTCGGCGCCTAATGCATCAGATACTGCTGAGTTGGCCATCGAGGCCCATGCCCAGTCGGCGTCAGGCTCCACAGCTGGGCCAGAGTCGTCGCCCGGCCGTGCTCCGGCCCAGACGTCGCTGCGTCCGCCGTCGGGCGCAAGCGCCCTGGTGCCCTCTGCCCCGGGTCTGATGAACGCCATGACTGCCAGCAAGGACGCCAGTACTGCTCCCTCTGACGAACCGTCGCTACCACCGGCACCGGCGCTGCAGTCAGCGGAGGCGGCATCAGGCTTGCCGTCGCTGACTGTCGACTTGTTGTCGGCCGCTGCGTGCCCCCCGACGGTTGCAGCAAACTCGGCACCCCCGCCGAGCCTGGGCTCGGGTGGCCTGACGTCCAATGGCCTGGCTGACTTGTTCGCAGAGCCGAAAGACCTCGTCTACCTCAAGTGCTCGCTGTGCAACTCGATGATATCCGTCGATACCATTGACGCACACTCGGCCGAGTGTGCCGCGACCCTGGAACGGCAGACCCGCATTCGAGCACCGTCGACCACGTCCGAGTCCCCCGAGGAGCTGATCCAGGAGGGCCGGGGCAGGAGCAGGTCCGAGGCTGATGCTGCCGCGACTGTCGCGGCGCCAGACTCGGGTTCCGACTCGGGCGAGGGCGAACTGAACCTGGCACCGATCGGTGGCGCCTCGAGTGGGGTGCGAGCCAAGGGCGAGTCGACCAAGAAGGCGGCTAAAGCTGCGCGGAAAGCGGCCAAAGCGCGCGAGAAGGCCGCGGCTAGTGCGGCCAAGCGCGGAGACCGCTCGGATCCGGACCTCCGTGCAGTGCTTGCTGCCAAAGACCGCGAGATTGACGAGTTGAAAGAGGCGCTGGAGGAGAAGGACAACGAGGTGGCCCGGCTGAAGAAGCTGTTGCAGGCCGAGCGGATCAAGAGCACACAGCTCAAGGCGAGACTGGCGTCGGCGTAGTTTTGGACTGGTTAACGTATGTTATTGCGCGGGCGGGTGCGCACTCGACTTCCCGGCCCCATCACCAGACGTTGTATCGCTTTGGGCAGTTGTGGGCGTTCCGAAGCACTCCATGAACGAGTGGGCTCAGGCACGACGAGCACCTTGAGGCGAGCTGGACACCGTGGACAACATGCAGGTGCGAGGCAAGCGAGACTTGGATGGCATGGTGTATGCCACAGATCGGGCACGGCCACAGCTCGTTGACATGAAAGCCGACCGATGCCTGACCTATGACGATCGCAAGCAAGCGGTGACTGACACGCTCGCCAAGCTTGCAGGCGCTTGTGAGCATCTGCTCGAGCTCAAAGAACACCTCGGGTGAGAGTTGCGACCAGTGGCGAGCGACATAATGCGCGTCTGCGTCGGGCCAGTACCGCATTCGACGGGCAAGCTCGGGCGGAACGGGCGTGGCGGCATTGTCGCTGGGGAGCGGCTCGTCGTTGGCGAGCAAGACGGCCCACGGCGCCTCGAGCTCGAGCATGGTCTCGATGCCGAGCCAGGGTGGGAGGAGTAGAGCGGCGCGGAGGGTGTCGAGCCTGGCCTGCACAAGCTCTGTGCCTGCTTTGGCCACCACCAGCAAATGCTGCAGCACGCTATCAGCCATGGGCTCGGGCTCGGCCACAAAGGCGTTGATGACAGTGGTAAGGCCTTCGGCAGAAGGCAGTGAGTCGACAAGGCCAGCATGGACCAGAAACCGTAGCGCACACCAGAGCTTGGCAAGGCGAAAGGCGACGCCAACTTCGGCCTCTACCTGCTCCAGCTCTGTCGCAGCATCCGGTGTCTCCAGCCAGGTTTCGATGTCCCTGAGCGGACGGCTGACCAAGCTGGTGAGCGCGTCAGTGGTGCCGAGTGCACACTGCGCCATGGTCATGACCTCGCACACAAATGGAAGCTGGGCCATGGCCCACGTGCGCAAGCGCACGATGTTGTCGCATGCCTCGGCCACCGATATTGTGCCACCACTTTGACACGCGGCCAGCCAATAGCAGCCGGCCGCTTGCACTCCTAGGGCCGGCTTGTTGGCCTGCATTGCCATCCGCCCGGTGTGGTACACCAGACCCGTAGCGGTGCCGAGAAGCGAGCCCGGGACCTGCTGTTTGGCTGCGAGGCCGGCCATCCTACCTAGGGCGGTGGTGACTGTGTGGTACATGTGACGTGACCCGTCCATCCACTGCAACTGTTGCCCCCTGGGAATGAGGCGGTCATGGTCAGAGGCGAGGCCGGGCCAAGCCTTTGCGGCCGTTTTGGCAACTCGCTCCAGCCGCCGGAGCAAGGTCTTCAAGCCGACCCTATCGAGCGAGGCGACATCAGCGAGGACCGTCTGGACCGCAGCCTGGCCAACAGACAACCCAAAGTGCTCGACGACAGCTGCGCAGTGGGCAAAAGACTCGGGACTAAACTTGGACCGGTACCCACCAAACCGCAGAAACTGTGTAATCTCCGGCTCGAGGAAGCGCAGGACTGGCGGCAAGTCAATCGAGTTCCCACGCGTCGAGAGCTTGGTCACCACCAGCGAGCCGATCGCCTTTTCGCGAGCCAGCTGCGAGGCTCTCGCAGCACCGTAGAGGCCAACCGCAATGAGCGCCTCCATCCGGAGCCGCGGACCGGCGACAAGCGCCAGCAGCGACGCCGCCTCGTCCTCGACCCGCTTGAGCTTCTCGGCAAACGGCAGGTCCGATTTGTCGTTGATGTACCGGCCGAGCTGGGCCGCGTTGCGGATGCCGACAATCTTGAGGTCGTGGCGGGCGTCGAGTGCGTGCTTGGCGACGTCGCGGAGCTTGGCCCGGTCGACAACCCGCGAGGTGATGAGTGTGGCGGCTTCTTCGGTGAGCTTGGCGAGGTTGATCATCGGCGACGACGCGATGCGGCCGACCGAGTTGGTGGAAAAGACGTGAACAAGCTTGCCCATGGTCGCCGCGCTCACCGCAGGCTCATCCTCAAAAATAGACTCGTACACAGCCTTGGTCATCCATGTCGGAATCGAGGTTCCCGCCACAATCGCTCGAAACGCCTTCTTCTCCTTGACGTCCACCACGGCGTACTTGGGCACATCTGGAAAGCTGAGCTGGAGCTCAAGTTCGGGGCCAAAGCCTTCCCGGAACGCTGCCTCGCGCTCGCTGTACCGCTTGGCAGCATCGGCCATGTCGCTGCAAAGGGCGACAAGCCGAGCGGTCTCGGCCTCGTTGTCCAGCTCACGGGCTTCCACGATGCCACGGCAGACAGAGATCGCGTTGTGGAGGCCCGGCAAGAAAGAGTACGGAATGCAAGTAATCGTGCCCATCGCGTCGAGTCGCGCTTGCTGTATGACTAGATGACGAGCAAGCGTCTCCAGCTCGATAGGCGTCGGCTCGGCGCACGAAATGAAGAGAAAGTCGCGGACAAGCCACGGGCTGGACCTGGCCACCAGAGGCGCCACTGCGTCGACGGGCTGACCGATGTGGCGCTCCAGGTCTGTCAACCGCCGCGGGGCGGCCTCAATGCGCCGCGGCAGCTCAGTAAAGAGCGGCAGCAAGATGGAGGTCATGATGTTGGTCGTCGGGTCGCGCTCCAGCGCCATCCGCACTTGTGTGGTTACCATGTTGGTGAGGGCACGGACCGGATTCCGAATGCCAAACACGGAATCGCATCTCTTGGACCATGTTGCCCTGCAGTGGGCGATGGCTGTCGTAAGCTTGTCGTCGTAGTTGAAAACCGAGCAATGCTGGGCGAGAAAGACTGCTATCTGGATGAGCTTGAAGAGCGCGCGCGGCACTCCTGGGCGGGCACTCTTGACCTTCCGCACATCTGCGAGTGCGGTGTATGCAACAAACATGCCGCTGGTGTCGCTCTCGCCAAGTTCGGCCTCGATGGCGCTGGCAGCCGCGGGCTGCAGTTCAAGCGCCAGCAGTCGGCGCAGCAACAGCCGGTCGTGTGCGATGCGCCACATCTGCGAGCATGTCGTCGCGAGAGCACGATACGACGTCCGATCGAGAAAGCCCATAAGATATACAACAATCTCGTCCGGGAGAGTGGCGAGCGGCGAGGCGAGCGCGCTGCCGCCGCCGCCGACGCCGAGTCCCGCCACAAACTGGGCTGAGGTTCCCCACGAGCCCGCCGTGCTTGAAATGCCCAATGCCAGGTTGTACGTGTGCTCGTAGATGTCGGAAGCCATGGCGCTCGAGAGCGACTGCGGCATGCCGTGGATGATCGAGGAGCCGAGGCCGGTGACGAGCATCCACGCATCAGCGAGGAGTGCGACATGTGCCTCGACGCCCTTGTACACCATACCATCTCTCTCACCAACCAGCCGCATCATGCTCCACGGCTGCGGAGCCAGGACTCCTCCTGCCAAGAACCGCTTGACCTGAGCATTCATGGTGTGAGCGAGCGAGGCAGCGGGTAGGGGAGCGAGCGAGTGGCGGCAGGTGGGGTGGGTGGTGACGGACTTGAGGCAGTATGCCCTTTGGCCGTCAAAGTGAGCAAAGGTGCGAGGGGAGGATGTGGGGAGGGAGACAGAATGAAGAAGACGATGGCGGACGTATGCGTCTTGGGGAATGTAGAGACGGAAGGGGGGGGGGGGGGGGGGGGGGAGGGGGGGGAGGGGGGGGAGTGCGAGTGTGTGTGTTTGTGGTTGGCTTATGTGTGGTGGGAGTGAGGTGGTGAGCCGACGAACAATCACGACCTTTTCGGAAACATCAGGTGCGGGCCGGACTCTGGGAAGCCAGAGCTAGGGAACACACAGTGGGCGACGACGGCAGGGTGGTGGGTGCAAAGGCGGCGAGTTTACCGCTTGCGCGAGGCGTTGAGGGCGAGGTAGGAGAAGATGAGGAAGATCGCCATGTACACGCCGAGGATGCCCGAGTTGAAACCGATGTTTCCGTCCTCCTCGGCCTCGAACAGATCAAGGACGGCCTGCCCGTTGGGAACAGGGCAGGTGCCGTTGATGGCCTCGGAGGCGTCGCAGGTGAAGGTGAGGTCCTTGAGCTCGTTGATGAGCACGCCGTTAAAGGCGTACTTCATGAACGAAAAGTAGCGCAGCCAGCGGATGCCGACCCAGATCGACTCGGGCTTGACGAGGAACGAGGCAAAGAGGGTCGACGGGAGGACAACGCCCGGAGCGAGCGCGTTGGCAGCATCCGAATCGCCGGTCGCCGCAGAGAGGAGGAGGCCGAGCCAAGTGCCAAAGAGCGAGAGCTGGTATGCAAAGCCGACAAAGATGAGGAACTTCTCGAGATCGGCCTGCAGGCCGACCATAAAGTAGACCTGGAAGACGTAGAGGACTAGGTAGAAGGCCTGGAACGGCAGATCGGCAATGACCTTGGCGGCAAGGTACGTGACCGTGCTGTAGAGGCCGTCCTGTGACTCGCGCATGAACACCGCCCGCTCCGGAATGAAGAGGGTGACAGCAGCCTGCATGCCAGAGAAGACAAGCATGATGGTGACGAGGAAGATGAGGCCGGCGCGGTCGAGACCACCAGTCTGTCCGCGGTCGATCTGGTACCAGATGGCAGCAATGAGGAAGCCGAGGATGATCATCTGTCCGGCGCGGGCCCATGAGGCCTGCTTGTTGCGGACCTGGAGCATAATGTTGCGCTTGACGAGCTGCGCGAGCTTGACGATCGGCGACGGGCGGTGGCCATTGAACTCGTCGAGATGAAGCGATCCAGCCTGCGAGAGCGAGGCCGACGACGAGTCCGGGACGCCCATGCCGGCTGCGCGTGCGGCGGCAGTGATGGCCTGGATGCGCGCGAGCGACGAGGAGGCCGAGGTAGACGCCGACGAGCCGCCGTGAGCCGCCTCGTCGTCGTTCAGCACCAGCGCTGAGCGCGAGAGGATCTCAATGGTAAAGTCAGCCGGGTTGAGTCCGCGCGGGCATTCGTAGCCGATGTCCTCCAGGAAGGGGAGGAGGCCGGTGACCTTGCCCGAGTACGCGACCTGGCCGCCGGCGAGTGCCATGACGTTGTCGAAGACGTGCAACATCTCGTTGGAGGCCTGCGAGACCGAGGCCAGGATGGTCATGTTGTTCTTCTTGGCGAGCTTGCGGAGGTTGACGATGACGGCCTCGGCAGTGGCGGCGTCGAGGCCTGCGGTGGGATCGTCGACGTACAGGATCTGCGGAGCGGTGATGAGCGACTGGGCGATGTTGGCCCGCTTCCGCTCGCCACCGGAGAGGCCGCGCTTGAGGCCAGGGACGCCGACGAGGGTGTCGCCGACCTTGGCGATGCCGAGGACGTTGAGGACCGACTCGACACGCTCGTTCCGATCCTCGGCCGACATGGTCGATGGGAGCGAGAGACGGGCGAGGAACTGCAGGTTCTCGCGCGGCGTCGAGTCGGCGAGCATGATGTCTTCCTGCTGAACGTAGCCCGAGATGGCCATAACGTCCGACGGATCAAGCTCCATGCCGTTGTACAGCACCGAGCCGGACGACTCGAGCGCCGACGGAAGACGACCGGCGAGGACGTCGAGGAGGACCGACTTGCCCGACGACGACGGGCCGAGGAGCATGGTGAGCTCGCCCGGAACAAGCTTCAGCGAGACATTGTCGAGGAGGACGATCTCATCCGTGCCGGGCCGGCCGCGGCACTTGTCAAGCAGCGACTTCTTGGCCGGGACCTTGACGGTGATGTTGGAGGCCTCAATGATGACACCGGCGGCACCGCCTGACTCGGCGTCGTAGCCGTAGCCAGCGGAGTCGGCTGATGAGGCCGAGCTCGATGAGGCCGACGAGGCCGACGAGGCCGACGAAGCCGACGAGGCCGACGAGGCCGACGAGGCCGACGACGCGCTGTCAAGCGGAATGGCTCCGCCGGTGGAGCTCGACGTCGACGTCGACGACTCTTGCTGCTCCATGACTGCAGAGGCCGCGGAAGGGGCAACACGCAGCGGCATGAGAAGATAGAGAGAATGTGCGATGTGACGTGGCGAAGGTGGCGGAGGGTGCGGATAACGGGGGTGAGTTTTGTGCTGCGCTCGCGTCATTGGCAGCCAACCCTCCGCCGGTTTGCCGATTCGCCGCCTTGTCCCGCAAGTCCACTCATAAGCACTGTCCAGGCAAGATAGGCGACAGCTAGGATGATGTAACACTGGAACTAGATAGACCCAAGGTTGCGCTTTCTAGCAGTCTCACTATCAGTATATTCCTAGGCTGCATGGCTATGGTAGGGGCTGTGACAAGTTTCGCCGCCTTCTCCCGCAAGCGTGCTCAAATGGCCAATTTGTCGCGTTGCGGCAAGCGACCGATTGCGGTACAAAAGGTGAGGAATTGCGGGTCGCGGCGGGTGTGGCGGGAAAGGCACAGACCATTTCCCTCGAGCAGCAACCAGGTTGTGTGCGCTTGTAGTGACAAAGGCTTTCTGAGACTCTCTTGACATCGACGTTACTTCCCATGTCATCTACTTCGTACACGAGCTCGTCGGCTGACTCTGCTGCAAGCGGTCCAGCGAGCGGCAGTGAGTCGGACTCGTACACGTTTGTGACAGCTGGCTCAAGCAATGAGAACGACGAGGAGATTGTGCTCGAGTTTAACAACATCAAGGTGTGGGTGGAGAACTTCAAGGCGACCAAGGCCGATGGCTCGACCGAGGTCATCAAGCGGCGCGACATTCTCCGCGGCGTGTCAGGCAAGGTCGAGTCGGGCCAGATGACGATGCTGATGGGGGCGAGTGGGGCGGGCAAGACCACGCTGTTCAACGTCCTTGCCGGGCGGGCGCACACGGTCGAGTCCTCGGGCTCGATCTTGGTCAATGGAAAGCACTTTGGCCTCGCCGAGTTCCAGGAGATCTCGGCGTACGTGACGCAGGACGCGACGTTCCTCAACTCGATGACACCGGACGACATTCTGGGCTTCCGCGCCAACATGCTCCTTCCGTACTCGATGTCTGCCGAGGAAAAGCAGGCGCGGGTTGACGACGTCATCGAGCTGCTCGGCCTGGAGGAGGTGCGCAACGTGCGGCTCGGCGAGCCGGGCGTCTCAGCGCGTGGCCTCAACTTTGTCCAGCGCAAGAAGCTCAACGTCGCGGCGGCGCTGCTGGTCAAGCCGCGGATCCTGTTTGTGGACGAGCCGACGACCGGCCTGGACGCCGCGATGGCCAAGTCGGTCATGCTCTCGCTGCAGCGGGTGGCCAACTCGCGGAAGCTCGTCGTCTTCTGCACCATTCATCAGCCGTCGGTCTTTGTGTACAACCTCTTTGACCAGGCGCTCATCATGGCGCTGGGACAGATTGCGTACTCGGGCTCGGTCGACAACATTGTGCCCCACCTCGACAAGCTCGGCTACGAGTGCGACGAGTTCAAGAACCCAGCGGACCACGTGATCCAGGTGCTCGACTCGCGTGACGGCGACGAGAAGCGGGTTCAGAAGCTTATCGATGCATACCACGCCGACGCCTCGTCGTCGTCGTCGTATGCCGGGCCCAGCGAAGTTGTTGCCGAGATCAACGACGACGGTGCGCCGATGACGCGATCCGATCGCATTCCGTGGTACGGGCGGATGTATCAGCTGACGAAGCGTGCGCTCAAGGTGACGCTGTACAACGACAAGGCGCTCAAGGCGTCTGTGGGCCAGGCCATTGTCTTTGGCATCCTCATCGGCATCATCTACTCGCTCGACAACTCACAGGCCGGCGCGACTGATCGCGTCGGGCTGCTCTTCCTCACCACGACCAACGCAATCTTCCTCTCGCTGCAGGGCTCGGTCTTTGTGCTCATCGCCGAGCGTGCGGTCTTCCTCCGCGAGGTGGCTGACGGCATCTACTCGATGCCTGCCTACCTGGTGAGCAAGGTGGCGTCGGATCTTCCGTTCCAGGTCCTGTACCAGCTCCTCTTCTCGGTCATCGTCTACTTTACCACCGGCCTGCAGCAGTCGCTCGGTCGGTTCCTCATCTTTGTTCTTGTCCAGTCGCTCGTGGCACTCGTCGGCTCGAACCTCGGCCTCGTCCTCTCGGCCTTTACCGGCGACGCGGCGACGTCGACCGCGCTCGCGCCGGTCATCATCGCTCCGTCGATGATGACGGCCGGTGTGCTCATCTCGACTGAGGCCATCCCGGTCTTCCTCCGCTGGCTCAAGCACGTCTCGATCCTCCGCTACGCCTTTACCGCCCTCCTCCTCAACGAGGCCGAGGACGCGCTCGTCTTCCATTGCACGCCCGAGCTGCAGCTGCCCAACGGCCTCTGCCCCATCAACACTGGCAACGAGCTCATCGCCCAGCGCAATGCCAACCAGGAGCCGACCGGCATCTGGTCGCGGGTCTTTATCCTTGTCGGCTTCTACGTCTTTACCGTCTTTGTTGCCTACCTCGGCCTCCTCTTCTCTGTCCGCAACCAGCGGAAGACCAAGCGGTCGTGATTAACACATATCACAATGTGGCGATGTATTATCCCTTTGTGTCACCGGTTGCAGCTTGCTGCGATTGCAGATGAAATGGTGTTCATCGGTGCCGCATGGCTTGCTGCCGTGCCTTTTCCCCCCCTCGAGTCTGATTGGGTACCCGTCCAGCCGCCGGCGCCGCCGGTGCCACCGATGCTGGCAGGCAGGAAGCCAAGCCAGCCAGCCTGCCTGCCTGCCTGCCAGCCGGCTTCGTCCACCGCACCACTCACCACTCTGTCAGCCACCTATCTCCAGACACCTATCATGCTCCGGGTGTGCGTGCGGCAGGTACGGGCCATGGGCGGGACAATGTCTGTCTCGGGCCTTTCATCCCTCACCGCCTTTGAACAGGCGGTTGGCCAGACGCCGCTGCTCCGGCTGCGCGGCGCGTCTGAGGCTGCCGGCTGCAACGTGTACGCCAAGGCCGAGTACGCCAATCCAGGTGGTTCGGTCAAGGACCGCCCGGCCCTGTCGATGATCTTGGGTGCAGAGCGTGACGGGCATCTGGTGCGTGGCGAGGAGGGTGTTATCGTCGAAGGCACTGCCGGTAACACAGGCATCGGCCTCGCCCTGGCCGGCCGGGCTCTCGGCTACAAGGTTCTCATCTGCATCGCGTCGAGCCAGTCACAGGAGAAGAAGGACATGCTGCGTTGGGCTGGTGCCGAGCTCGTCGAGGTTCCGCCGGTCCCCTACGCAGATCCGAACAACTACGTCCACGTTGCTGCACGCCTCGCCGACGCCATCGCCAACAAGCTCCCGGTCAACTCGTTCTACGCCAACCAGTGGGACAACCTCGACAATCGCGCCGCCCACGCGTCCACCACTGGGCCCGAAATCATGCGCCAGATTGCCGACGCCGAGCGGTCGCGTGACGGCGAGCCCGGTGTTGTCACCGCCTTCTCTGCTGCTATGGGCACCGGCGGCACGCTCACGGGCGTCGCCGAAGCCCTGCGCGCCGCCAACCCGCACGTCCACATTGCCCTCACTGACCCACACGGCGCAGGTCTCTACCGCTACTACACAGAGGGCGAACTCAAGGCGGTCGGCTCGTCCATCTCCGAGGGCATCGGCCAGAACCGCATCACAGGTAACATGGTCGGCTTTGAGCCGGACGCCGCCCACGAGATCTCCGACGCAGACATGATGCTCGCGCTTGAGATTTTGCAGAGCTGCGACGGCCTTGCCATGGGCACCTCGTCCGGCATTAACGTCGCCGGCGCCATCCAAGTCGGCCGCGAGCTCGGTCCGGATGCCAACGTCGTCACCATCCTCTGCGACGTCGGCGCTCGCTACGCTGGCAAGCTCTACTCGCCCAACTTTCTTCGCTCGGTCTCGCTCACTCCGCCCCCCTGGATTGATGAGGACGACGCAGGCCTTGGCCCGCCGTGGTCGGATCTCCTTGCCGACGTCCTTGCCCAGTAGCGGGTGTGGAGCAGTAAACGCGTTGTCAGTCAAGAACACCGCTCTCCAGCACATTGTCCTAGGTGAAGACGTGACTGTTGCCCGCCCAGGCAAGCAATGCGGGCGTCCCAGACCAAGATCGGATTCATGCTGCGATCAGCGGCGCGCGATGGCGACTGCGAGGCCTTCCTCTTCCTCTGGCAGCAAGCCGGCGCGGCGGCGCAAACACTGCGATATCCGCGCGACGAGGGCCCGCTGTTTCCGGCGCTTGCCTCACGACACGATGCGATGATTGACATGCTCCTTGCGCCGCCGATCTGCGCCTCGGCGACCAACGCGTCGGCAACCTCGGGCTCGACCCCGCTGCACTGGGCGGCGGCGGCGGGCTATCTGTACGGCGTGCGGCAGCTGCTCGCCGCGGGCGCCGACGTTTACGCGGCCAATGCCGCCGGCGACACGCCGTACGACGTCCTCGGCTCGTTTGCGGCCGACGAGGGCTATGACGCCGACGGACACCTTTCGCTGGAGGCTGCAGGTGTGGCTATGCTCATCCACACCGCCGCCGCAGCCCGTGCTCGCGGCTGGTCGCCCGCCCGCCACCGGCACTTTCCGGCTGCCACCCGTGCCGCCATCTGGACCGCACTCGTCATCGCCAAGGCAAGCACTCTCGGGACAAATCCTGCCCAGGGCACACCCGGCGAGCGGCGTCCGAGCTATGCTGCCCACTGCTGTCTCTACAAGCTCCCGAACGAGCTGCTGCATCTCATCTTTCGCTTTGTCGCCGCCGCCCCCATGGACGCCGACCCGTCCCGGTTCCCCGCCCCGGACATGTACCCGCCGCAAATGCTGGCCATGATGCTGGACCCTGTGGAAGCCGCTGATGATGACGCTGTCGATCGCGCCCAGATTCTGGCCATGATTGAGGCCTCGGACAGCTCTACAGAGGACAGCTGACCGGAATCCGGATGTGGGCGATGATGACGATAGTGGGCGATGGCGACAACTGCAGCCGTTGGCTTGAGATCCCGGCTCATCAAGCCGGCCAATTGGGGTATCTATCCGATCGAGTGGTCCACTTCCAACAGGTTGGTCAGGGAGGTTGATCCAGTGGTGGCACCCGAGTAGTGGCACCCCATCGCGTCGTGGTACCCCATCGAGTCATGGCACCCCATCGAGTCGTGGCACCCGAGTGGTGGCACCACCCGATCGAGTCGTGGCACCCTATCGAGTCGTGGCACCCCAACGAGTCGTGGCACCCGAGTAGTGGCACCCCAACGAGTCGTGGCACCCTATCGAGTCGTGGCACCCCATCGAGTCGTGGCACCCGAGTAGTGGCACCACCCGATCGAGTCGTGGCACCCTATCGAGTCGTGGCACCCCATCAAGTCGTGGCACCCGAGTAGTGGCACCACCCGATCGAGTCGTGGCACCACTCCATCGTGTCGTGGCTCTCGATCCAGTCATGACATCACCCCATCGTGTAGTGGCTCCCGATCTAGTCGTGGCACCACGAGTGCGACGGCCAACCGAGTGGATCGAGGCCATCGACAGGCAAGTGGCATGAGGGCAACGGGGCGAGACGGAACGGGACGGAGGGAGGGAAGGGGGGGTAGAGAGGCACACCGCACGCGCACCGAGAGGACGGACGTGGCGAGGAACAAGTAGGACACAAAGTGGGAGTGCGTAGAGGGCGTAGAGGAGGCACGTCCGGGCACCGACGAGGTCGGGCAGCAGCAGGACCAGCACCAGGACCAGCACCAGGTGGTGGTGGTGGTGGTGCGGCAGGAGAACGTATCGCTGGAGGTGTGCGGACGGAAAGAGACAGCAGACGGATGCGGACAAACAACCGAAAAGGTGGAGCTGGTGGAGGTGGCAGTGGCGGCGCTGTCGGTGGTAGTGGTGGCGCTGTCGGTGGTCGCGGCTGGCTGGAGGAGAGCGGCTGGTGGGCAAGGGTGCTTGCCAATCCGGCAAAGTATGGCGCCCTGGTTGTTCTCATCTTTCAGAACTCGGCGTTGGTTCTACTGATGCGATCATCGCGGACTGCGAGTGTGGCCAACGGCGAGCGGCGGTACCTGACGACGACCGCTGTAGTGTGCATGGAGTTTCTCAAGCTTGTGGCATCGCTGGCCATTCTCTGGATCCAGGAGGGCTCACTGGAGCGGGTCGGCAAGCTCTTGCACACGGAAATCGTCATCAACTACACGTCGACGCTGGTCATGGCAATTCCGTCGCTGCTGTACGTGCTGCAAAACAACTTGCTGTACATAGCCGTTGCCAATCTGGAGCCGGGCACGTACCAGGTGACGTATCAACTCAAGATCCTAACGACGGTCATCTTCTCGGTCGCCATGTTTGGCACGCGCATCTCGATGATCAAGGCGGCGTCGCTAGCGTTGCTGATAGTGGGTGTGGCTCTTGTGCAGACTGCAGCGCTGCCCGCAGCGCCCGAAGCAACGCCGGCGCCTGATGCGCCGACGACGGCACCGCAGGCGCGACTCCTCGGCTTGTTCACTGTCATCTGCGCGTGCTTCACCTCGGGCTTTGCTGGCGTCTACTTTGAGAAGATCCTCAAGGGCCGCGGCAAGCAGACGACCGCGCCGTGGTCGATCTGGATCAAGAACATCCAGTTTGCCATGTTTGGTATTGTGCTCGGCCTCGCGGCGGTGGTCACCCGCGACGGCGACCTTGTGGCCCAGCACGGGTTCTTCCAGGGCTACAACTCAACGGTGGCGGCGGTTATTTTCTTCCAGGGTCTTGGCGGCCTCACTGTGGCACTTGTTGTGAAGTACGCCGACTCGATTGTCAAGGGCTACGCGGCGTCGGTCTCCATTGTGGTCTCGTCGTCGCTCTCGATCTGGCTCTTTGGCAATGTGCCATCGGGCCAGTTTGTGCTGGGCGCGGCCTTTGTCATTGCCGCTGTGTATTTGTACTCGCTGCCAGCCGCCGACGAGCGGCCGAGCTCACCGCCGGCGCCGCGCTCGCCGCCGCGCAACCTCGAGGTGTAGCGCCAGGCGTGGCTTTGCCTCTGCCGCGTAAGCAGTAGCAGAAACAAAAAGAAATGCGGAAACAGTGCCCGGTAGTCATGTTGCCGTTGTGGCCCAGCTGGTTAGGGCATCTCCTTCCTAAGGAGAGGATCGGGGGTTCGAATCCCTCCAACGGTTGACAGTCTTTTTTTTGCCCAGCTGTTGTCCCTCCCTGCTCCCCACCACACCCATACACCCCCATGCATGTACATACATGCATACATACATACATGTACGCCAACTACACATTTACAATCATACCGGTACGTCTTCGATGCGATACACAAGTGGAAAGGCAGCGGGCGGGCTTCGAGAGTCGCCATCAGCTTCGTCGTCGCCGCTCTCGCTGCCGCCGTCATCGCCGCGGCGGGCAGCCTCGAGCTCGGCCTCCCACGCCTTGCGGGCGGCGAGGGCGGTGAGATACGCCGAGGCAAAGGCAAAGCCAGAGGTAGTTAGCTGAGTAAAGGCAAGGTCGGTGAGTGGATCGAGGACGGCTGGCGCGGCAAAGTTGGTGCAGACGGCTGAGAGTAGCGCGGCCATGAGCCCGCGGCGGCGGTGGGAGGGCGAGGTCCACATGCGCGAGATGCCAGCAACAACCCGACGCGGAGCAGCAAGGTCGTAGTGGGAAGCGTCAGTGGCGCGGTAGCCGGTGGCGATCCGCTCGACAAGAGCGAGCGCGACCGCGCGTGGCTTGGACTCGTCGGTGACGAGGAAGAGCTGGTAGTGGTCGACCGGGCGCGGCGAGGCGCGGACGGCTTGAAGCTGGGCGTCGACAAAGGCCATGGCTTTGGCGGCCCAGGCAGGGGCCTTGCCGCGGCGGAGGCGAGCACAGCGGACACCGGCCGGGCTCGAGGGTGGCAGCAGCTCCAGGGCGGCCGCCGGTGGGAGCGGGAGGCCGTCAAGCTTGGCCTCGGCCACGCGTTTGGCATGGCGGCGGGCGTGCAGCGCATCCTCCTCGGGCATGCCGGGCGTGTACATCATGGCGCAGACCTCACACCAAGTGGCAGAGAAGTCGTCCTGGCCCAGATCAAGATACGACTGGCGAGCCTTGGGCGGCGGGCGCTGGCGCGAGGGAGTCGTCTCGCCTTCGCGCTTGCGCTTGCGGCGGCGGGCGAGCGGGACAAGATGAGCAGCGATGGAGCCGGGCGTCGGATCCGACGCCGTCCGTCCCAGCGACGGTGACCGACCTCCGCTCCGTCCACCACCGGCCGGCGACGCCGGGAGCGAGACCTGGCGCGGGAGCGGGCGCGGGAGCGAGAGCGAGAGCGTCAGCGGCGAAGACGTGTCCGACTTGCGCCGCGAGTACGTCGCACGCTTGCCGCCCGTGGGCGACCGCGTTCGCCACGCCTTGACCTTGGCAGCAGCCGCGGCGGTGGGAGACCGAGTCGAAGCGGACGGTAGCGGCGGCGAGTCTACGACCTTTTCCGGAGGACAGGGCGCTCGAGGCGGAGACGGAGGCGGGGACTCTGGCACACGCAAAGGGGTGAAAAAGAGGCAATGCCCTTGCTACTCACTGCCATGGCGGCAAAGACAGGAGCGTGTGCGTCGAGAGAAGAGTTGGGATGGTGTGGTTGTGGAGGGGAGGACGGCGGGAGTGCGTCGTGCAGAGTGCTTGATTCTACAATGAGACATTGTCGATGCTGCCGAGCGCCGGCTGGCCGCCGCCGTTGCTGCTGGCAGATGCCGCGTCGCTTTGTTCGGCTGCTGGTCGGCGCTTCACGAAGGCGAGGCGGGGCGACGGAGGAGCTCGGGGGAATGTGGGGAAAGAAGCCGTTTCCAGACCTGGATCAGTAGGAGAAGGTGGGAGTGTGCAGTTGGTGGATGCAGTGGGCATGGTGGGGCTGGGGAAGGATGGCAGCAGGCTGGGGAGGGACTTGGAGTAGGTGTGGGGGCGGGGCTCGGCGTGGGTTTGGGGCCAAGCGACCGTTTTCGACGAGGGGAGGCCAGGGCAGGGCAGGGGGGGGCAGCAAGGGAAAGGAGACAGAGGGCGTGTGTGTAGGGGGGGGAGGCCCGTCAAGCCCTGCCCGAACCGTCAGCCGCCTATGCAGCCGCAGTGTCGGGCAGGACTAGCCGTGGATCCCATTTAGTAGCCAGAGCCGGGGGCCGGGCCGTAGCCGGGGAAGCCAAAGCCGGGCTGCGGGCCGTAGCCGCCAAAGCCGGGCTGCGGGATGGTGTACGTGCCGACGTCGGTCCACTGCGGCTGCTCGAACTGCTGCTGCGGGAAGCCGCCGAACTGCTGCGGGAAGCCGCCGAACTGCTGCTGCGGGAAGCCGCCGAACTGCTGCTGCGGGAAGCCGCCAAACTGCTGCTGCTGCGGGAAGCCGCCAAAGGCGAACTGCGGCTGCTGGGCCTCGTAGCCCGAGCCGGCCTGCTGCGGGTAGCCGCCAAACTGGGGGTAACCGCCAAACTGCTGCTGCGGGAAGCCGAACTGCTGGCCGTAGCCGTAGCCGGGGTAGCCGAAGCCAGGGTAGGCCGGGGCAGCCGGGGTCGACGACTTGGACGCCTTGGACGACTTCTTGGTCTTCTTGGACGACTTGGACGACTTGCCAGACTTCTTGGACGACTTCTTGGACATGGTGAAAAAAAAGAGAGAGGGGGTGGCGGGGAAAATCGTTGCTAGAAAAAGGCCTTCACGAACGGAAGCCAATCCGAGCGAAACGAGCGAACAAACGGGAAAGCAGGGGAGGGCTGGGCTGGGCTGTGTCAACGGGTGCAAAACGAAAACGGTGTTCATTGGGCGTGGGAGGTT